AAGAGCTATAAATATCAATATAAATACATTCATCAGTGGAAAACTTAACTTAAAGTGTTGGACCCTGCATTCACTATATCTGGTCTCCCACAGTACACAGAACATGGAAGTGCAATTATGTTAGTAAATATAAACTTAGAAATACCTTTTTCTCATCAGCAGTTTGAGCAGTCTTGTGACTTCTATCAGTATTCAGTTGAGCACTGGTTAAAGCTTGTAGGAGGAGTTTTTTCTGTTCTAGGAGGATGCAAAACTCTTGACCTCTGTGTGGACAGTGCTGATTGGCCCTGTGCTGATCACATGCACTCTCCCAAGGAAAAAAAACCCTCTCTAGCAATACACACTAAACTGAGCATGGGCAAACATCATTGGCCACAGACGGCCAACGATCCTCCTTTGCTGCCAGTTCCACCGTCTTCACTCTACTTCTTTACAGTAAGAATGTTGGAGTTTTTTTGGAGGGGGGGGGGGGGTTGTTTTTTTAATAAAGGTTCCTTTTTGTAACCCTTATTCTACTCTAATCAGCCCTAAATATCTCCTTTTAGTATCTGCCTTTCTTCAACTATTATTTTCCTACTGACCCTTTTTTGTGTTTCCGTTTTATTAATATTTAAACTATTTTTGTTTTGTATTTTTACACATTTAACATATATTTACAAATTTCCCATTTTTTAAAAAAGTGCAAAACTGGAAAAAAAAACACTTCAATTGTAAATATCTTTTGCTTTATACCAGAATTCATGGTTTGTGGCATTTTAAACAAGACAAATTACAGACAGAATTATGCACATTTTATGTGCAGAACACTATTTTTAAACTAATCCTGCTCAAAAAAAGAAAATGCATTTTGTTTAGTTTGTCTAAGGATTGCGTAAAAAATAATTGTTGGAAGACAATATAATGAAAAGAGAGCCTATATATTACCTTGTTCTCTTTAGTAATGACAAAGTTATTGATGAATAAACAGGTCCATAGCAAAGATGTAAAAATTACTCCATAGAAATGAATAGGTGTGAGAGGCTAAATAGTTTAATACCATTGTCATGAAGCTTTGCTTTGCAACTGCAGAAAAAAATAATAATTTCTGGGAGAGGGTGATAACCTCTGTCGTCCTTCTTCCTTCTTCTTTTTTTTTTTCCTCCTGTCATCAGTGTCCCATTGGGAATATTGCCCTTCACTTGTCACATAGCCAAAACAGGAAGTGAGAAGAAATCCTTGCAAATTAAAACGAACCCCTTGCCCCAACACCCCCTGCCTCCCACCCTGGCCAAAACTGGTGTCTCAGATGGAAGAATTTCCTTCTATTGCTTTTCTAGGGACAACCCAAAATTTTATTTTACTGACACTTTTAATTATAATGGTAAATAGGACAAATTAGAGCGGGTGAATCTCCCTAACGTGGGACTCCTTTTACTAATTTTTGTCAATTTACTATTTGTTGAATGACCAAGGGATGCGTTTCCTCTCACCCAGAAAAAAAGTTAGTGGTTGTAAACCTCAGACATAAAATATGAACAAAGCATATCCCTCTGTAGTGTGTGCGTCTCAATTAAGAGTGTCATTTCTGTCTGCTGCTTCTTTTCTCCGTAATTTCTGACAAGTTTTCCTGACACCAAGAGAAAAACGTTGATGGAGAGGGAGCTGCAGCTGATTGACAGCCTCAGCTCCGTACCTATGAGCTGTATGGAGGAGGGTGTGTCCTTTTCCTTCCAATCAGCTCTCAGAGCTCTGCAAAGTGTTATTTATGTCCCCTTTTTTCTGAACCCTCAGACAAGCTTTAAAAAATTTTGGGCTTTGAACGGATGTAGAGCAGAGAAGACTGCAGGAACAACTTAAGCAGAAGGTTTTATTTCATGGCTGTGTATCACCAGAGGCTAGTCACTTCACTGGGTATATGGAAGAGTTTGCAACCACTTTAGGGTGCATTATACAGCCAGAGCTACGCCCCCCTTCCTTGCCTTGTTCTAAATTAAAATACTCACCTGTCCAATGAATTCAGGGTTGTCACTTAGAATAGTGAAGTTTCACTTTAAATAGTGTTTGTTTTTAAATGCAAACAGCGTATCTGAACCTGACTTTGTACCAGCCTTTTGCAAGCCCTGTATAGCAGAGCACAGACTGAGGGAGGGAGAAGCACCACAAAGAGCCAGTTAGTTATGCTGTAGTGCAGGGATCATGTTGATAGTAGCAAGGATCAGAATGGCAGGGATGAGCTCATCAGTTTACTGCTTCTTCTTTTAGTGTCCATTCACAAGGTGGGAGTGGGGAGGAGACCTGTACGTACTATTGCAGAGAAAAATTGGGTCTCCACCTCTACCAACAGGGCTGTGCTGAGCAGTAGAGCTGTTTAAATCTCAGAACCTGGATGAACATAAATACAAATCCTTTTGGCAGAGTATGTCTTATACATTTAATTTGTTTTTTTAGCTGTTTGCATGGAGTTCAACTTTAATTTTGCTCTTCTTGAGGAAAACAATTGAGGCTGAAATACCATTCCTTAGGAGATTCTAGTAATTCTGCATATTCACTTTCGCAGAGAGAGAAAGCATGACATAAGCTTGTTTTTAATGAAATTCTCACACCATCTGCCTGAGATTAGGCAAGTTTCTATAATTGTCTGCGTTCCATGGAATGGCAGAAAATGCTTATTGCCGTGTTCCTACTTTTAATAAGGCAGATGGCCTGGCTGTTGGATTTAGCAGCAAAAGAAAATACATCAAACACTGTAAAAATAAAACTAACACATTAAATATGATGCACAAAGCAATTAAGGTTGTTTTTACAAGAAAATTTGAATAAGGCACTTTCCTCTATTTAATGATAAATTTAAAATGAGTCACGGCATGAATAATGGAAATGTAATCGTAGAGGGAATGCTAGATGTACACTTTGGTAGATCCTTCCTATCCCAATAATAATTCAGGTTGCTGCCCTTTGGTACATTGACCAAAATCCTCTCTACTATTGCTGTAATAAGGAGGAGATAATTATATTTGAAAATGAATTCTCTTTTGATACCTTTTTTTGTTTTGTGTTTTAACTTCTGAATTGGGAGTTAAAAAGTAAAAATTTGGCATGCCGATCATTATTTTGCATATTTTTGTTATATTAAAGAGCCAGCATAGACAGATAAAACGTTTCTTTGCTAAAATAGGTAAATGTATTTCGAAATAGCATTTCAATTTGTCTTTTATACTAAAATAGGTAAATGTATTTCGAAATAGCGTTTCAATCTGTCTTTTATACTAGTCTTCAGTAAAAAAAGATCTTGTTGATTGGAGGAGAAAGCTGAAAGATAAAATAAATACTTCCGCATCGAATTCCTGCTTTGATTGAACTTTATTGCTTTGACTGTAGTGGTGAAAAGTAAATAGGGCTTTGTGTTGGTGTATTTATTAAAAAACTAACTGAAGGGAATTACAGTGCTTTCAGAAGGTAAGATAGTTCACACTTCTCTATTTCTACTATGTACAGCGGGTAAAATAAGTATGGAACAGGCCACCATTTTTCTCAGTAAATCTATGTCTAAAGGTGCTGTTGACTTGACCTTTTAACCACATGTCAGTAACAACCCATGCAATCCATACATACAAAGGAACCTAAACAAATAAGTTCAGAAACTAAGTTATGTGTAATAAAATGTAATGATACACAGAAAATGTATTGAACACGCTTACTAAAATGTATTTAATACTTCGTACGAAATCCTTTTGTTGGTAATGACAGCTTCAAGATGCCTCCTGTATGGAGAAACTAGTCGCATGCATTGCTCTGGTGTGATTTTGGCTCATTCTTCCACACAAACAGACTTCAAAGCTTGAAGGTTCTGTGGACATCTTCCGTGAACTCTGATCTTTAGTTATTTCCATAGATTTTCTATTGGATTAAGTCAGGTGATTGTCTGGGCCATTCTAGCAGCTTTGTTTTCTTTATTTGAAACCAGTTGAGAGCTTCCTTGGCTTTGTGTTTGGGATCATTGTCTTTCCAAAATGTCTACCCTGGTTTCATCTTCATTATCCTGGCAGCAGATTTTTATCAAGAATGTCTTGGTACATTTTTCCATTCATCCTTCCAGAAGTTTGCCAGTACTGTATGCTGAAAAACAGCCCCACATTATGATGATCCCACCTCCAAACTTCACTGTTGGTATGGTGTGTTTTGGGGTGATGTGCAGTGCCATTGGACCTCCAAACATAAGTATTATGGCATCCAATTCAGAAGTTTTAGAAATCCTTCTGTAACCAATGCTATCAGTTTGTTTTGCAACTATAAGGTTGCAAGAGCTCTTTGCTTTTACCCATCATGAGATGTTTCTTGTGTGACACCTTGGTAATGAGACACCTTTTTGAAAGCCAACAGTTGAGACTGAACTAGCTGATGATAATTTTGCATTGACAAGGGCAGTATTGCTTTTTAAATACTGATAGATTTCATCTGGTGTCTAGGCTTTCCATGCTTTTTTGCACCTCCCTTTCTTCATGTGTTCAATACTTTTTTTTCCCTGTGTCATTAATTTTTTTTTTCTTTTTTACACATAACCTAATTTTATGAACGTATTTGTTTTGGTTTCTTTGTGTGTATGGATTGCATGGGTGAAAATTTCATGTCAATAGCACCTTTTAGAAATATATTTATTGAGAAAAATGGTGATGTGGTCAAAACTTTAAGCCGCTGTATGCCTACACTTATTTTCAAAATTTAACGTTTTCTGTTTGAACAAAATGTGATAGGGGTCCCAACACCCTCCTATTAGGCCCCTACACAGACTTCTGATGTGACACAGGTACATTGCTGCTCAGTGTAATGCTGCCTGGTACAGTAAACAATCTAGTAGTGGGGAGCAGGTCTCTGTTACATGTGAGGTTTGTGTGGGGATATCAAGTATAGGATTGGGTAATGGAACCCCCCCCCCCCCCCCCCATTTTGAGTATTATATTATGTATACAGTATATATTTAAGAAATGATGTATATAATATTTTTTTTTTTTTTTTTTTTGCAGCTTTTTAAGATGGATTCTATGTTAAAAGACCATTACTTGCCCAGTTTTTATCATCCTCCTGCTAGCAAAGCCCTTTCTGACCTTTTTGAATCCAAATCTTCATCAAGAAAACATTCATGTTCAACTGCGAAAGATCCAAATTCTCCTTCCTACAATGTTCTAGAAGTTCCCAATAGCAAAGGTAAGGAGTAATTCAAGGTAATTAATTATGTGTATGTATGAATGTAAGTTAGGGACCTTAGATTGTAAGCTCCTTGAGAGTTAGAGACTGACAAATAATACTCATTAAAAAGAACCATAAATGTACGCTAACTTGCCATTTGGACTCCACATATTATCAAAATTACCTAGGGATTTTTAATTTCATTTAAATAAATGCAAATCTTAAACCGCTAAATTGGACCACATACACTTACTGGCCACTTTATTAGGTACACTTTGCTAGTGCCAAGAAAATATCCCCCACATCATTACACCACCCCCACCAGCCTGAGCCATTGATACAAGGCAGGATGGATCCATGACCCTACCATCTGAATGTCGCAGCAATCAGTCTGCCCTATCTCCTCTGACGTCTACAAGGCATTTCCCTCCACACAACTGCCGGTCGCTGGATATTTTCTATTTTTTGCACCATTCGCTGTAAACCCTACAGATGGTTGTGCATGAAAATCCCAGTAGATCAACAGTTTTTGAAATCCTCAGACCAGCTCGTTAGGCACCAACAATCATGCCATGTTCAAAGTCACTTAAATGCCTTTTCTTCCACGTTATAATGCTCGGTTTGAACTTCATCAAGTCGTCTTCACCAGGTCTAGATGCCGAAATGCATTGAGTTGCTGCCTTGCGATTGGCTGATTAGCGATTTGCGTTACCAAGCAATTGAACAGGTGTACCTAAAAAGTCACTGGTGAATGTGTAATCAACTACCCAAATCTATCTTTTGACAACAGAATTTCATGTCCTTGTCTTTTGTCTCTCCCTGGCCCAAGCATCCAAAGTCACTTGGTGACCCTCAGTGAACTGATACCTTTCATTGTTTCCTCTGTGACCTGCACCTCCTTATAGCCCCACTTACTACCTGTTCCTGATCAGCTTGTAACCAGTGGGTATGGACTCCAGTTCATGACCGTATCTCTAAAAGTTTAAGGATTACAAGCACATAACCAATATGAAGGCAGTTTAACTACAAACTGGTATATGACTCCTGTAATCAAATAGCACAGAATCTGTGGAATTCACAAAGGGTTTTGCAGAGAGAAAGTGTTCGTGCTTGCGCCCCAGTCATGTGCCTGTCGGAGACCGGTACATGAATCTGTCGGTGCCCGTACTGAGGTCAGAGTGTCCATACTAGATATTCCTTCCTCCGTGCGCTACCTCCCTCCTCGGCTCCTGCATTTGTCACACTAAGCCTGATGGGGAAACGAAAAAATTTAGTTCCCCAACAGGTCCCCTTTCCTTTTGATTGACAACGCACAGCAATGGGCAGATCCATAGTCGCTATTCAGTCCAATAGCCATGCATAGTCAATCAATAGTACTAGTCTCAGTTCCTGATCATGCTCCACCCACCCAGTGACAAGTCACTTCCAAAATATGCGTGTTGCCATATTTAAGTAATGAAATCACTTGTATCTATGTCACTTTTAGCGGGGTAATCTCCTGGCCGACAGCTCAATGTTGCTGGGGATACAGCCCTGTGTGGGAAGCTGTTGCATACATGACCGCTTCCCAGCACAGACCTGCCCCACTCTGGGCCATGGGGTATCTCTGGACACCAGCTCAGAGCTGTTATTAATCACTGCCAGTTTCCTGCACGTAGAGCTGGTGGCAATTCTTTTAAAATCCGTGGCTGCCATAGTGACAGGTTCTTCAAGTGGCAAATGTACTACCTGAATTTGCCACATGTGCCAAATGCTTGCTTGAATTAGGCGCATGTAGATCTTAAGGAAACCACTGGTATATTATTGCTAGAAAGTTATTAAAAAAAATCCCTTTTAATGTGTTCATTAGTTAGTTGACTCCTTTCAGTTAAAACATTCCAAATTTCATTAACCACCTGACGATCAATCACAGTAAATATACTAGGAGTGGGCAGCAGGTACAGGCACTGTCACGTACATGTACGTTACCAGCCTCCTTCCAGAGTTCTGCATTTACAACCAGTATCTGGCTGTTTCCTATCCCTGAAAAGCAGGGAGAAAAAACAACCAAATTAGTAAGTAAAAGCAGCACAGATTACACACAGTACATTTGTAAGCCACAGTGTCAGTGACCCTCCCAACCAGTATCTGTTAGTGCCAGATTACCCACCACACTATCACAGTTTCACTTTATGTCGCTGATAACCGCTCTTACAGTATATACCATACTTTGTAGATGCTATAACTTTCCAGCAAACCTATTAATATACACTTATTTTTGGCCTAAATGTATGAAGAAATTAGATTTTTTTTTTTTTTTAACTGCATATGTTTTATAACCGTAGAAAATTATTGTTTTGTCAAAATTTTTAGTCATTTTTCGTTTTATATATAAAAAAAACCCCCAGTGATCAAATGCCACCAAAAGAAAGCTCTATAATATGCATCACATACTAGCACATTCTGAAAGATTTACCTTAGAATGAATCCCTGCAGCGGCGCGCTGTCACCACTGACAGGGCTTCCATCTTCATCCATTCTTCCTTCCGGGTTCTCGGGCTCTGGCCACTTGATTGGCTAAGCCATGACGATGTTACTCCCGTGCATGCACATGGGAATCTCGGCCACGGCACAGTGCTCCAAAGGAACAGCACAGGTAATGCCATTCCTTCAGAGTGCATGCACCGGTGATGTTATCGGCTGCAGGAACACTGAATATCTCCTAAACTGTGCATGTTTGGGATATATTCCTTGTATCTACAGGTAAGCTTTATTACAAGCCTACCTGTAAGTACAAGTATCCAGTGGCAGTTTACTTCCACTTTAAGGATATGTAGCATGTTGTGTTGTTTACCTGTCATAATTTTTATTACTGGCCATGGACTTGTCAGTGGTACAGATTTTTACAATAGCAAACTGTCACGTTGTTTTTTTGTATGGAAATTGACTAAAAAAAAAAAATTAGAACATTTAGAAATGTTCTCTAATGGCAAAGTAACGCAGGTTTGACACTGCATTAAGAAAGGTGAATAAGTCCTTACAGTGCATGTACACTAATCCAAAAAAATTAAAGGAACACTTTTTAATCAGAGTATAGCATCAAGTCAATTAAACTCCTGGGATATTGATCAGGTCAGTTAAGTAGCAGAGGGGGTTGTTAATCAATTTCAGCTGCTTTGGTGTTAATGAAATTAACAGGTGCACCAGATGGGCAATAATGAGACGATCCCCAAAACAGGAATGGTTAGGCAGTTACTCTAGGAGAGCTGGACAGGGCCATAGAAGGTCTTTAACCCATCAGCAGGACCGGTATCTGCTCTTTTTTGTCCAAGGAGGAACAGAATGAGCACTAACAGCGCCCTACAAAATGATCTCCAGCAGGCCATTGGTGTGAATGTCTCTGACCAAATAATCAGAAACGGACTTCATGAGGGTGGCCTAAGGGCCTGAAGTCCTCTAGTGGGCCCTGTGCTAACTGACCAGCACCATAGAGTTCGATTGACATTAGCCATTGAACACCAGAATTGGCAGGTCCGTCACTTGTGCCCTGTGCTTTTCACAGATGAGAGCAGGTTCACCCTGAGCACATGCTACAGATGTGAAAGGGTCTGGAGAAGCCATGGAGAACGTTATGCTGCCTGTAACATCGTTCAGCATGACTGTTTTGGTGGTGGGTCTGTGATGGTCTGTGGAGGCATATTCATTGAGGGACATCAGACCTCTACAGGCTAGACCGGGTGTCGGCAACCCGCGGCTCCAGAGCCGCATGCGGCTCTTTTTCACCTTGGCTGCGGCTCCGGAGCACACTGCCCACCAGGTGACAGGCAATAGGGCAGCAATGGGCAAGCTACTGCCCGGCGGACCTTTTAATTCGGCCCGTGGAGCTAGGCTCCCGCTAGGCTCCTCTCACAGTCCGCCCTGAAGACCGGTGTAGCATGAAAATCTGTCTCCTATGAGGATCTGTCCCCCTCGACGTATCTGCGCATGTGCCGGAGATCGCCGATCGGCTGCTACTGCCTGAAACTGGCATATGCGCAGATACGTCGAGGGGGACAGATCCTCATAGGAGACAGATTTTCATGCTACACCGGAACGGTGCGGGAACACGGCGAGAGGAGCGCGCGGAGCAAAGGTAAGTGAATTGACACAGGGGGGACTTGGGGACTTAATATGGGGGATGAATTAATATGGGGGATGAATTACTATAGGGGGGATGAATTACTATATGGGGGATGAATTACTATGGGGGATGAATTACTATATGGGGGATGAATTACTATATGGGGGATGAATTACTATATGGGGGATGAATTACTATATGGGGGATGAATTACAATGGGGGATGAATTACTATATGGGGGATGAATTACTATGGGGGATGAATTACTATATGGGGGATGAATTACTATATGGGGGATGAATTACTATATGGGGGATGAATTACTATATGGGGGATGAATTACTATATGGGGGATGAATTACTATATGGGGGATGAATTACTATGGGGGATGAATTACTATGGGGGATGAATTACTATATGGGGGATGAATTACTATATGGGGGATGAATTACTATATGGGGGATGATTTACTATGGGGGGATGATTTACTATGGGGGGGATGATTTACTATGGGGGGGATGATTTACTATATGGGGGATGAATTACTATATGGGGGATGAATTACTATGGGGGATGTATTTTCAGTTTTAAAAATGTGGCTCTCAAAATACATTTAAATCGTGGTTTTGGCGAGATTTGGCTCAGTTGAAAAAAAAGGTTGCCCACCACTGACCTAAAGCTATGATTGTGATTATGACGATACACTGTGGCCCTGATTAACCCTTTGCTTACTGGGCCCTTAAACCCCCTTCATGACCAGAGCGCTTTTTGCAATATATGCAGTGTCGGATTTGTTTTAAATGTTGCAATGGTTTTGCGGCTCCCAGTCTTTTTTTCCCTCTCGGAAACGGGTCCAAGTGGCTCTTTATGTCTTAAAGGTTGCAGACCCCTGGGCTAGACAATGAAGGAATTGATACCATTGAATAGCCCCCTACACTCACCTGACCTAAATCCAATAAAACACCTCTGGGATATCGTGTTTCAGTCCATACGACGAAGCCAGGTTGCATCTCAGACTATCCAGGAGCTCAGTTATGCTCTCGTCCAGATCTGGGAGTAAATACCCCAGGAGACCATCCGTCATCTCATTAGGATCATGCCTACAAACACGTGGGTGCCATACAAACTACTGAGTACCATTTTGAGTTGCTGCAATGAAATTTCAGCAAAATGGGCTAGCCTGCTGCATCATTTTTGCACTTTTTGATTTTCGGGGTATCTTTGAATTCAGTCCTCTGTAGGTTGATAATTTTCATTTCCATCAAACGATGGGTCACCATTACGTTCCTACCACATTACCCAGTCCATATAAGTACAGATGTCCAGCATGATATTTTTTCCCCATTGAGATCTGATGAGTTTTCAAAGTGTTCCTTTCATTTTTTTTGAGCAGTGTAGTTTGTTGGTTTGTGTTAGATGTACTTTAGGATTTGCTCTTCACTAATGTTTGATGTCAGGTTTATATGAACTTTGTGACCTATCATTCATAACAGCTTTGGTGTCTGCTCTAAAAACTCTTCAAGAGAAGATTTCCCGGTTAGAACTGGAGAAGTTTAAAGCACAGAACTGTTTAACAAGTTTGTCCGTGGAGAACAATGAACACAAGAAAGCATTGTCTGAAAAAGAAAAGAGTGAGACTGCTCAGCGTGAGGCTGTACGGCAGAAAAATGGTAATAATGATAATCCTTGTACCTGTGCTTTACCTAGGATTTCTGTATAAAAGCAGGAACATTAAAGAGGAAATAGCATTGAATGAATTTTGCACGTTAAAGCGGAGCTCCACCCAAAAGGGTAAGTTCCGCTTTAATGCTTTGTCCTCCGCTCCCCATTAAGGATTGGCACCTTGAGGGAGCGGGTACCCGAATTTGACAGGTACCTGCTCCCACTTTTGCTGCCATCGCCTAGGCCAGGGGTAGGCAACCTGCGGCTCTCCAGCTGTTGCAGGACTACAAGTTCCATCATGTCTCTGCAAGTCATAGCTGTAACTGTCAGTTTTGTAATGTTGCAATGCCTCATAGGAAATGTAGTTCCACAACAGCTAGAGAACCGCAGGTTGCCTACCCCTGGCCTAGGCGATCGGAAGCACAAGTTGTCCTCCCCGCTTGGAACTCCGCTTTAAGTTATTGCATGCTAAGCAATGAGTAAGTGTAAATTTATAAGTATTCCTATGTCTGACAGAGATCAAAGCACTACCTCTGACCATGTGTTCAACTGCTTTTCTCCCCAGAAGGATCTCGTTTTTTGTTGAGGTAATATCTAGGGTCAACATTACTTCATGGACTGAAATGCTGGACCATTAATAACACATGGACCTTAATTTACCAAAGGAGTTCTGTATGTTTACTTTGCAAAATTAATTCTCGCTTTGACAGAGAACATTTTTGACTTCACTTCACTTGGTGGATATGGTGGAAAAATCACTATGCATCGAATGTCCAATCCCTGTAAGGAAAAAAAAAAAAAAAAAAGGGTTTATGTTTTCATATGATTGAAGTCAGCATAGCTTTCCTACATTGACTAACCTAAAAGAAAATTCCTTTGCAAAGTGAAAATGCTCTTTTCTTTTAGTAAATTAGGGTCATCATATATATATATATATATATATATATATATATATACAGTATATTCTGGTTCCTGTGCTGTAGTCTTTGTGTTGTTGGCTGTGGTTACATGCCTCACACAGATCTACTTCTCAGTCTATGGGTTGTAATCACGTGTGCTGTGAATGCTAACTGGCCAGGAGGACAGAGGAGCTGAGAAAAATCTTTCTTTCTATGGCAGGAAGATGACAACATTCTCTTAGCATGCACCTTTCAAGTCTACATATAATCACATGACTGTAGCTTAAATTCTAAGTTCACCTTTTCCAGAAAACCACCTATGCACTTAAGGGGGGCTCAGTAGATATTAGGTCTAATTCACACTAGTGCGATTCGAGTCACACAGAATCACATGACAAGGGAAATCTCACTATTCTCAATGGTGCCTGTCCTAATCATTGCGACTCAGAACGGTGCAATCTTAGGAAAGGTTTGTGCGCTATTTTGGTGTAATTTACAGTGCAACTTGGCCCCATAGAATATTCAAAGTCGAACCAGATTATCACACTGTAAATCGCTTTAAAGTCTCATTGCAATAGTGTGAACCGAGCCTTAAAAACTGTGCAGCTTTGTAAAATCTATAATAATTCGATTTTCATACCTGTATGCCATTTTGGGGCCCCCTGGCAGACTGGCTGAAAATCTCCCAGTTTGCAATACCCATGTCCTGCCTTGTTTCTAGGACAGGAAAAATATGTTGGATTCTCACTCCCAGCATTTTTTTTTTTCAATATGTTTTATTTTTGTTATAAAGAAAGGTGCAAACACAATATACAGGTTGATGCCCAAAAGTTGAGCAACCAGTATATTGACAAAAAACTGATCATGTCAAAAGTGGTACAAGCAGCAGAATAGCATTGTTAATAATTGGTTAAAGTAGCAAAACAGTGGGAGAGATAGTAACCGTAAGGCTGTCAATCGACCTAAGTAATTGACATGGCATTAGTTCATTGTTGCGGAATTAGGTCTCTCCCAGCCTTTCAGGAGTGAAAACCAAACTATGTACATTAAAGTATTAACATATTCCACTCAACCAAAAAAAGCCCTTTAAAACAAGCCCTCATCACCTCTGTAGCTTCTGGCACTGTGATGAAATTCATCTTTCAGTTTCCAACAGAGCCACTTCTTTCCCCTTATTCTGCAATGTTACATTAAGTGCAGCTTGGATTAATTTTTTTATTTGGTTTTCATGTGTTTGCTTGTGCCACAATTGAAATGAACGGTACCATTTTAATTTTCCTCTGCTGTTTCTGTGCTCTTTTCGTTTGATATGAACCCTAATTCCTATTCTATAAACAGTACACAGGGCAACAGGGATGTGCAGAGGATGGAACCCCATAACAACCAATTGGATTTTAGCTTACTGGTATTGGACAACCTGTTTTCTTGTGTTTTTGCTTTGGGCTTCAGCACTTCTTACATCCTTGCTTTGCATTACCTTATTATCTCCCTTTAGCACGAAGCAGAAGTCTGGGAACAATGATATCACTGTTCATCTTTGAAATTGCCTGTTCAATGAACAAGTACACATCTGCTAACTATAGAAAATGACTACTTGAGCTGTTTGCCTTTCTGACAAAAACATGATGATGGAACAAAATATGACCATTTGCAAACAGCAGAGGAGTTGGTGTTCTTTTTGTAAACATTTCTTTGCATACGCACAGAGGTTTAATGATACAAACATCTGAAAAACACAAGCGAAAATGTTCACGTGCTGAGATTTAGAAGAAAATGACCTAGTGCCTGTGGTCAGTGGGAGGAGGTATGCCATGTCATTTGTGTTAGTGGAAAGAATAGTTCTCCATTGTTGGTGTCAATGGGAGGAATAGCACCCCATCCTTGGAATCAGTGGGAGAAATAGTGCCCCACTGTTATCATGGAGGAATTGTTTCCCTTCAATGGTATCAGTAGGAAAAATTGTACCTCATTATTAGTGTCAGTGGGAGGAATTGTGGTGCACCATTGTTGGCAATGGGTGGAATTGTGCCCAATCAATTGTGCTAATGGGATAAATTGTATACATCATCAGTAGTGTCAGTGGTATGAATCGTGCCCTCATCAATGGTGTCAGTAGGGGGGAATTGTTCTCCATTGTTGGTTTCATTGAGAGGAATTGCGCCATGTCCCTTGGAAAAATTGTGCCACAATGTTGGTATTGGTGGCAGGAATAGTGCTCTGAAGACCAGATAAAGGGGTCCAAAAGGCAGCATCCAGCCCAGGAGCTGCAAACTCTCATGAAGGATTGGAAGCAGCCTCAGCCTAGACTGCATCCAGACCAAACCCCAACATTTTCGCCTCACCCACAAGGCTTAGTCATGGGATTACATGGGTCGGGCAAAACATGGCAGGGGCGTGACCTGGATGAAGTCGAGGCCGAGGCTGCTTCCACTCTTTACATGAGGGTTTTTTGTGATGTGTGGCTCCTGAGACTTCTTTGACTACTATTGAGCTGCTGCAAGCTCTTTCTTTGCCTGTACTTCCTACCTAAAATTGTCCATAGGTGATGCTTTAAAACCTTTTACAGGTCATCGATTTAATTCAAACAGCTGCATCACTGATCAGTGTATTCTGACAGTGGAGGAGCCCCGCTGTTTGAATACAATAGCACTGCATTTTTAAAAATCGTTCACATACATGTGTAAAATAAAAAAAAAGGCCTTTTTTTTGGCTAGAAAATTACTTATAACCCCCAAACATTATATATTTTCTAAAAGCAGAGGTCATGGACAGAAAAATGGTTACTGCTGCAATTTTTTTATGTCACGTGATATTTGCGCAGCAGTTTATCAGAAATACACTTAAATTAATTTTAATGCAAACAAACACAATATAATACCCATTTTTGGTAAAATATGATGTTATATAGATGTAAATAAATATCACACGCTTAAAAATCGCCTGTAAAATGGCAACAATCTACAGTACCTTAAATTGTCCATAGGTGATGCTTTAAAAGCCTTTACAGGTCATCGGTTGAAGTGTTACTAAACGCAGAACAGTAAAATCAGTCTGTATATGCAGTAAAACACACTTGTTATACTCACCGTGGAACCTAAGGGGTTAATCCTCCGCATTGTGTAAAAGGGCTGTTTGATCCTGTCTTCTCTGATCCTCCCCGTCTTCTACTGTCCTCAATCCATCTGCTGATACACTATATTGTCAAAAGTATTGGGTCACCTGCCTTTACACACACACATGAACTTTAATGGCATCCCAGTCTTAGTCCGTAGGGTTCAATATTGAGTTGGCCTACCCTTTGCAGCTATAACAGCTTCAACTCTTCTGGGAAGACTGTCCACGGTTTAGGAGTGTATCTATGGGAATGTTTGACCATTCTTTAAGAAGCACATTTGTGAGGTCAGGCACTGATGTCGGATGAGAGAGCCTGGCTCACAGTCTCCTCTCTAATTCATCCAAAAGGTGTTCTATCGGGTTAAGGTCAGGCCAGTCAAGTTCCTCCACCCCAAACTCGCTCATTCATGTCTGTATGGCTCTTGCTCTGTCATGTTGGAACAGGAAGGGGCAATCTCCAAACTGTTCCCATAAAGTCGGGAGCTTGAAATTGTCCAAAATGTCTTGGTATGCTGATGCCTTAAGAGTTCCTTTCACTGGAACTAAGGGGCCAAGCCCAACCCCTGAAAACAACCACACACCAAAATCCCCCCCCCCCCCCCCTTACCAAACTGTACAATTGGCACAATGCAGTCAGGCAAGTACTGTTCTCATGGCAAATGCCAAACCCAGACACGTCCATCGGATTGCCAGACAGATGAGTGATTTGTCACTCCAGAGAACACGTCTCTGCTGCTCTAGAGTCCAGTGGCGGTGTGCTTTACACCACTGCATCCGACGCTTTATATTGCACTTGGTGGTATAAGGCTTGGATGCAGCTGCTTGGCCATGGAAACCCATTCCATGAAGCGCTCTATGCACTGTTGTTGTGCTAATCTGAAGGCCACACAAAGTTTGGAGGTCTTTAGCTAATGACTCTGCAGACAGTTGGCGACTTCTGCACACTGTCCGCTTCAACGTGCGCTGGCTCTGTTCTATCATTTTACTCTGTTCTATCATTTTACGTGGCCTTACACTTCGTAGCTGAGTTGCTGTTGTTCCCAGTTGCTTCCATTTTGTTATAATACCACTAACAGTGGACCGTGGAATATTTAGTAGCAAGGAAATTTCATGGATGAACTTATTGCATAGGTGGTAACCTATTACGGTACCACCCTTGAATTCACTGAGCTCCTGAGAGCGACCCATTCTTTCACAAATGTTTGTAGAAGCAGTCTGCATGCCTAGGTGCTTGATTTTATACACCAGTGGCCATGGAGGTGATTGGAACACCAGTGCTCAGCTGGACACGGATAGAAGTCACAAGACTGCTATATACTGCTGATGAGAAAGGTATTTAGCAGTTTATATTTACTACAGTAATTGAATTTCCATTTAGTGTGTACTGTGGGAGACCAGATATAATATATATAATGAATGCAGGGTCCTGGGTTTAGTAACTTTAATTGTGAGCTATGGCGCTAGAATTTTTGTCTCACTCTGACATCTTTGGTGATACCTCCCATGTGATGCGACCACTGTTTATATGTGCGTGCTGGACCTAAATGCACAATTGCATTTACATGCACAGGGGTAAAGGGATGCTTTAAATTTTTTTTTTTTTTTTTTCATATAACTTTAATGCCATCACAAGGGATAACCAAGCCCCTTGTGATAGCTTTGGGAAATGGCAGATACTCTGTTGAGACATCAGGGGCCAATGTCTCCCCTGCTCTTCAAAACATCGAATGTTTGATCTGTACTTAGAAGGGAAACACAGCCCTGAAACTGAAAGTGATTAAATCATCCTTGCTTCTGGCTTCATTTATCACAGAGTAGATCAGGGGTTGAATGATAATAATGTAATTAATAATGCTGCCATGTGAATTTTAATGATGGGTCAACTTTAAAGTGTTAATACACCCAGGACCTTCCATTTACTATATCCAGTCTCCCACATTACACAGAACATGGAAATGCAATTATTTTAGTAAATCTAAAGTGTTAAATAGCTTTTCTCATCAGCAGTATATAGCAGTCTTCTGACTTCTATCAATGTCTGGCTAAACACTGGTTAAAGCTTGTAGGAGGAGTTTTCATTCTCCTCTGACTATCCTATGAGGCTGCATTACCCCTGATCCTCTGCCTGGACAGTACTGCTTGGCCCTGTGATAATCACATAGAAAAAAAAAAAAACAACCTTCAATCAATACACACCAAACTGAGCATGCACAGTGTCTTCTAAGGCTCTGTACTATAATAGATGGACTGGGGACTGTGGGGGAAGGGAAGGTTCAGAGAAGACATTTTACTGTTGTGGATTTAATAACACTTTAAGTCAGGCAATAGTTTTTGTTGTCTTTGGTCCCTTGTACTTCCAACAGTAGTATATTTTTCTCAAACAGCAATAAAGTAATAAACTCTTGTTGAGTTCTTGTTTAGTTAATTTGTTGTCCTTTCTCTTGATTGCTCTAGATGTAATTACTCAGCTGAATTCAGCAGAACAGCGCTGCTTACTTCTTGAGAAGCAGCTTGAATATATGAGAAAGATGGTTCACAATGCTGAAATGGAAAAGAATACAGTGCTCGAGCAGCAGGTACTTTCTCTGCTTTCTTCTATATGCAATCTATAATTCAAATAAAAGATTGTTTTTATTAAGGATCTTTAAAATGTATATGTATAATCATCATTTTCTAATGTCAGAACCTGCTTTTGAAAACTGCTATATAGTGCCTGCACTTACCTTTGCAGTGCTCTTCCAATGCCCATTTGGCACCAGACACCACCAAAATCACTATGCTATTGTCAACTTTCTGAAAAGCTAAGGTTTCATCACAGTAACAATTCCCCATTATCAGGAGGGCTATTTTGTATCAGGCTTTGTTGGTGGAAGAGCAATAGAAAGATGAGTGCAAGCAGGTTATGGTGCCTGCTACCAAACCACTGCTTTGCTTTTCTCCAGTGATCTTGGAGATTACGTTTTTTCTTTCTTCCTTTTTTTTTTAAACCAAATAAGTGTAATATCGAATTGAACATGAGGCTCAGGACATGAAGTAGGTACCAGATCTCGCTCAAAGCACAGATGACATTGCCTTCCCAGTGGCCATCTGTGCATCTAGGGCTACACCATCAGAGCCTTCAGGGAAACCTGGAAGTGGAAGCAAAAAAAGTAAATAAATGTAAAAAAATTTTTTTTTTTTTTTTGGGCTATTTTACGTCCCCCATACAGAGATGCAAACCGTATGTGAATTTTAGTAAACGGGTAAAAGGCCGTTAAAGACCATTTCATACCATTCTGCACGTAAAAACTCATTGCAATGTATTCAAAAAATGCATGTGCGTTGTATTAACATGTGTTTTGCATTGTGTTAAAATACAGACAGGTTGCATTTTAACACACAAGTACACAACACTGGCATGACAGAGGCGCATGGAAAGCCAATGTTTTATATGTCTCTTTTGCAGTCGCCTGCACTGATCAGAAAAAGTCAAATTTTGTGAACATGCCCTAGGAAAAAATTAACCACAGCCTGAGTAGAAAAGCCTTAGCATAAGTGCCCTGCTGAGTCAGAGTTCTGTAATCAGCAGGGGGCATGTGATTTGTTATTTGTAGACCTAAAGCTGGCTATCCACTAGTGGGATTTTGTTCGTAATTTTTAGTTTTTAAAGCAGAACTTCACCCAAAAGGACAAGTTTTGCTTTTCTGCCTCCTCCCCCTCCTCTTCTACTTTTGGCATTTTTTTTTTTTGGGGGGGGGGGGGGGAGTGGGTACTTAGTTTTGACAAGTACCCACTTATGCTCGGATTGCCTAGGCAATCCAAGTGAAAGTTTGCCCCCTGCCCTCCCTGCCAGCAGCTTTCTGGGTCACGTCACAGGTCCCAGAAGGCTGTGGTACCATTCACAAAGTACAACAGAAAGCCGCAAGGAGACGTGACTGGCTTTCCACACTAAAGGTTCCAGGAAGCCAAAAACTAGTGAAGAACTGGTCCAGGTGAGGACGTCACTAAATCCCTGGGCAGGTAGGTGTCATTTTATTAACAGCCAGCAGCTACAGTATTTTTAACTGCTGACATTTATGTTGTTTTTTTTTTTCTCCGACTGAACAACAGCTATAAGAATGCTTGTTCAATTTTCTAATAGCCATTGGAGTCAAATCGACACTCATTTTTCGGAGAGGATAGACATTTTTTTCTCGAACAAATTTCTAACAGTGTAGGTTGTACTGAGAATTTTTGTACGCATTTGCTTTGGACAATCTACTAGTGTACAACCAGCTTAAAGGCATGTCTGACCTCTGCAATGAGACCTCCTAGATAACCATAGTTGTCTTTAAAATGTAATCGTATAGCAGTTATTTGCATATGACACATTGCTGTATTTTCACTTTTATTTAATTACTATATGATTTCCTGGGGTATATTTCAGTCCTGACAATAGTAACTGATGGCCAAAAAAAACCCCCATAACAGGCAAACCTCAATAGCACTCTTGTGTGCAGTGCTTACAGCCTTCAGCAGTGCAGGTCTTTTAACTAGTGCAGGACTGTTTTATCTATAAGCCAGCTTGAAGCAGACCTTGCCCACTTGTCTTACACTTGCAGACACAGTCTGGCATCAGTTCAGTGATCACTGAAGACCATATATACTGTATAAACTAGAGCTAGACATAGATGGGTTTTTTTTTTCATTCAGCTAGCTGAATGAAAAAAACTGTTTCTTCACATTCATAAAAAAAGGTGGATGGACAAATTTGGATCAGTGTCTATGTCCAGCTCAAAACAGATTCCTCCATCTACACAAACGCAGTGGATAGTGGAATCCATTAAGTGTTTGACTTCTTTCAAGCGGGGACTGCCCTGCACTGATCAAAATTTGTCCGGTCCCTGCTGGATTTTGAGTGTGGCCAGCTTAAGCTATTGTTTGCAAGGCACTTAAAGCACCTTGTCTAAAGTCCTTTTTCTCCATTTCCTCTAGGCATTTCTTCAACAAGGAAATATACAGGATAAACTGGAAAAGCTTGAATTTTTGGAGAAGGAGTGTCTCCAACTTACAGCCACTCAACAGGCTGCAGAGGTAATGGACATCTTGTTGGTTCATAGCAGTTTATCATTAACAATCATTAATACACGGAAGACACTTTGGGATCTATGTCTCAGGATTTATATGAAAGCTACAAATAATTCCCATAATGTATGTAATATGTGTGATGTGTCTGTTACCATTGCCTTTCACATGGTAACATTCCCTTGTATTCCATCCCATGCTGATGAGGACAAGGGCCTCTTCCCCACAACTCAGGCCTGGTGGTAGGCTCATCAGAATCTGGAGGCCCTCTTTAACAATAAGGTAGGTGCTGGCTCCCTAACAACCAGGAATCCTGGGCAGGAAACATTCACATTTCGTAGCGATAGTAATGTTTGTTCCTGCTGCAGCTGTGGGTTTGGCTCGGCCAAACATCCTTTGGTTTGACCATTCGCTGAACCTCCCAAAGTGTGAGCAAACCTGCTACTCAGAAACACAGTACACAGCAAACCTGCTGCTCAGAAACATTGTACGCAGTGTAGAGATCTCATTATTTCCCCTGACTGAATGCTCTTCTTCTTTTTTTTCTTTTTTTTTTTTTTTTTTTTTGAAAAGTAAGTTATATAAAACAGAGCCTTTGGCCATTACCCAGCTCGAGGTAATACAAAACAATAGAACAGTTCTAAACCCAAAGTCTACTCCATGCTATAGAAAGGACTGGATAGCAAAGTAGCAGCAAGGAAATATATTGCCTCAACAGTATTTAATAACAAGAGATTAAGGCATTCCAAAAACAGGAGGAAATGCATCTAATCCACCCACCCTGGCAATGGCTAGTATTGTGCAGAGCAATCACGTCTCTAAACCTTTAGAGAAGGGTAATTACCCAGGGAGTCAGAGGGACCAACACCTTTACAATGTAGCAGTAGAGACAGAGTCAAGCCAAAGATCCCATACCCTGGGAAACGTTTTGGGACACCCACAAGAGGTATAAGTAGCTTTATATAGGGGTACCACATTATTAATCAAGGATTTCCAAAAGCCCAAAGTAGGGGCTTCCCTTGATTACCACTTTAAGGTGATAGCCTTACATGCATAAAAAAGCAGTAGACCAGTAAGAGTCCTGAGTACTCGGTGAAAGGCCAAAGAGTCCAGCAGTCCAAGAAAACAGATGTCAATACTCGGGAATCTCAACCATAGTCAACTGACCAATAAGTTTGGATCTTTGGGCATGTCCAAAAAAATATGGTGAAATTCGACAGGCTCACCTTCGCATCTTCAACACCGGGGAAGACCCTCCAGGTATATTCTATATACAGCACTGGCCAAATGTTTTGAGAATGGCACAAATATTAATTTTCACAAAGTCTGCTGCCACAGTTTTTATGATGGCAGTTTGCATATACTTCAGTCCGTCTTTGCCATGAAAAAGAACTTTAATCCCCCAAAAAAACATTTCCACTGCCTTTCAGCCCTGCCACATAAGTACAAGCTGATGTCATGTCAGTGATTTTCTCCTTAACACAGGTGTCAGTGTTGACGAGGGCAAGGCTGGAGATCACTGTCATGCCGATTGGGTTAGAATAACAGACTGGAAGCTTTAAAAGGAGGGTGGTGCTTGAAATTGTTCTTCCTCTGCTTACCATGTTTACCTGGAAGGAAACACGTGCAGTCATCATTGCTTTGCACAAAAAGGGATTCACAGGCAAGGCTATTGCTGCTACTAAGATTGCACTTAATCAGCCATTTATTGAATCATCAAGAACTTCAAGGAGAGAAGTTCAATTGTTAAGGTTTCAGGGCACCCAAGAAAGTCTAGCAAGCATCAGGACTGTCTCCTAAAGTTGGTTCAGCTACGGGATTGGGACACCACCAGTGCAGAGCTTGCTCAGGAATGGCAGCAGGAAGGTGTGAGTGTATCTGCACGCACAGTGAGGCGAAGACTTTTGGAGGCTGGCCTGGTATCAAGAAGGGCAGCCACGAAACCACTTCTCTCCAGGAAAAACATAAGGGACAGACTGATATTTTGCAAAAGGTACAAGGATTGGACTGCTGAAGACTGGGGTAAAGTAATTTTTCTCTGATGAATCTTCTTTCTGAGTGTTTGGGACATCAGGAAAAAAACCTTTTTCCTCCAGAGAAGAAAAGGTGAGCAATCCTGTGTCATACCAACAAATAAAGCATCCTTAGACCATTCACGTGTGGGTTGGTTCTCAGCCAAGGGAGTGGGCTCACTCACAATTTTGCAAAATCACAGCCATGATTAAAGAATGGCACAAAAATATCCTCCGAGAGCAACTTCTCCCAACCATCAAAAAACAATTTGGTGACGAACAATGCCTTTTTCCAGAATTATGAAATACCTTGCCATAAGACAAAAAGTGATAACAAAGTGGCTTGAGGAACAAAACATAGAAATTTTTGGTCCATGGTTAGGAAACTCCCCAGACCATCATCCCATTGAGAACATGTGGTCAATCCTCAAGATGCGGGTGAACAAAAAAACCCCACAAATTATGACAAATTCCAAGCATTTGATGTAAAGAACACTTTCGCTTAGACACCAAACTTTCAAAGTAATAAAGCAGCTTGCACAATCAATAGGCAAAAGGTAACAAATATTAACAATTAAATGCAGTGCTATCAATAACATGAAAATGAATAAAACATCTCATTTAGATCAAAATAAAAACAATACTAAAAACACACACAAGTGGCGACAAAGTCCACATGGGATCCACATATGCAGGTAGGAGTTGGTGCTCGAAAGAGAGAGCCCGATCCAGAGAGAAGACAGTTGCCTTCCACCCAATATAAAAGCCTTTTACCAGATAATTTGACCACCCGAAGGACTGGTGAACTAATGCAGCAAACTGGCCCAACTGGTGTACCACGAGCTTCTAAATGCAGGCTTCCTCCAGTGATTTGTCAGGCACTTCTCCAAATCATAAGGTCTCTAGACAGCAAACCTCCCATCGGGTAACAAAACACCATGTGGAGAAAAGATGCCCACTTATAGTGTAGTAAATAGCTCAACCAAGAAACTTACTTAACATCGCACTTATAAAAAACTGGCTCATCAAATGAGTTGTTTCAAAGCATCAAAATGGCTGCTGCCCTTCCAGAGTGTGATGACGTCACCCGGCGTGTCTCCACCCTACGCATTTCGTCATAAAGACATCGGCAGGGGCATGGCCACCGAGCGTATCACACACTTTATATAGAACTCAGGACACTCACCCTCAATCAGGGTGCATTCCACGAACCGAAACTGCAACCCCAAACAGGAAGTAAAAATGTTAGATCTGGGTCTCCATGGGCAAAAAGTGTTTGCTGTGATCCAAACACCAGAAAGACCTTCACGATCATGCACCATCCAGGTTAACAGTATTAAACCTATGAAAACAGCCAACCATCATCATAAAAAAAGGATATTAATCCAATAACCTCAAAACATAATAAAAAATAAAAGAATTAAACTGAACGTTAGAAAAAAATCTGAATTCCTTATTGCCATACTTGTTCCAGGTCAGTGGCTCAAAAGTGTTGAAGCCAAGAAATTGGCATGGCAGCTAGGAAAGATGCATTTTCACAAGCAGATGTCAGCAGCTGCAGCATTCACATTTTTCTTATGACAATGTGTCCTTTAGGCTGCATATATGCCAGGTAGAGAGCATTCAGTATTCTTACTTTAATAAATCAATGCCAAACTCTTCACTATAACGATATTAAAATCGAATTACAAGCAGTTACAGCTACAATTTTGTTCCTTTTGGGATAAAGGTTTTACATAAATAAACACTGATCATTGTAAGCACCCATCAGTAGTAAATGATTTGTCTAAACCCTCTAACTGCTACATCTGCAGGACAGATTGGTCTGTTGAAAAACAACAGATTTACTGGCAGTATCACCAGGTAGTAAAAAAAAAAAAGCCTAAAAAAGAATACACATGCAGCCATCACATCTAAGAATTGGTAAGCTGCAATATGTTTGCTTTTTTGGAAATGCCTTATTTGAGTATTCTGTTCTTAACTATGTCACATATAATTACATATTTTTCCGAAATACCGCATGCGATGCTGAAAATGTCAATTCACTACCCCTTTATGCAATATTTACCTGAAAAAAATCAAAAACGCTTGGTAAATACTGCGTAAATCAGTGTTAAAGTGAATTCATTAAAGGAAATAAGTAAATAAATGCATTAAGCAAATAAGTGGTTCAGACATGCGATAGTTAAAGAATGTGTATTTAATTTTAACTGGTCAATGACTCATCTGCTTTCAGCGTGGTTCCCCACCAACAGCAGAATGTGAACAAAAGAATTGCTGGCATTTAAAAAGAAACAAAGCAAAAACAACATGGGCACCCAACCCGCCACCCCCCCCCCCCTTCCGAAACCATACCAGGCCCTTCGGGTCTGCTATGAATTTTAAGGGGCCGGGGTATTGTCACTTGCAAAGGGGATTTATACGATATACAGTTGGGTCCATATATATTTGGACACATGCACAATTTTTCATACTTTTGGCTCTGTATGCCACCAGAATAAATTAAAAAAACTAAACAATCCAAATGCATTTGAAGTGCAGACTTTCATCTTTAATTCAAGGGATGAACATAAATATCAAGTACAAATTTTAGGAACTGCAACCATTTTTATACACAGTCCCTCCATTTTCGGGGGCTCAAATGTAATTGGACAAATGAATAGAATCATAAATAAAATGTTAATTTTTAATATCTTGTTAAGAATCCTTTAGTGGCAATGACTGCCTGAAGTCTGGAACCCATGGACATTACCAAAGAGTTTAGTAAATGCGAAATCTAAAAATCAAACAATATGGTAAAGTGCATCATGAATATAATGAGCTGAGTGAAACAGTAAAGTGCATCAAGTAAAATTATGAAAATATCAGCTTAAACAGCTCAAAAAGCAAATTTTTTTTTTTTTTTTTTTTTTTTTTTTTTTAGCGCTGCACTTTTACATATACTATTGTAGGGGATTGTTACCTTCACCTTGTGTGCTAGCTGCTCCCCAGATATCA